ATTGCTTTAAAAAGTGTTTAAAAATTTTGTGGTATACAAAAAGTTAATGATTTTTGAAAACTTTATTAAATGAATGACTTTTCAATACTTTAAAGCTAATTCTTAAGAGCATCCACAATAGGCTCCTTAAACCATCTCCTTACACAAATTTAAGGGAGGAATTAGAAAAATACAACTCCAACCATGCTCCCTATTCATGTCCTAAAATAGAGAGACCTCTAGGAGCTCCTAAATTTAAGGAGAGCGAAAAGACTATTAGTGGCTATCTATAATTTAATGCTGCTTTATTTAATGAATATTTCAAACCTTTAATTAATATTAATTATTTTTTATAATATATTTTAATAGAGATAGACAAATTAAAAATGAGTTATAGCATTTATGACTTGCTAAATTAAAAAGTATGATTGTAATTTAAATTTTTTAGATAACTCCACCCTCCCCCCAATTTCTCACCACACCCACCCCTACCGCAATCACTCTTTGTCTTGAATCTAGCCCCATCCTCGATAGCTCCCCGTTAGTTTTCAATTAATGAAATCTAAATGATGAAGTTGATCGGAAGTTTTGGGCTTTTCGAAAAGGAACGAAAACAAAATGATAAGTTAACATCCTTATCTTCATTTTCTGTGCAGTGATATGAAGATGGGGTTGGTTTGGGTATCGGGTGGGGCTGGAAGTGAAGATAGAGATAGAGATATGTGAGAGAATATTTTTCAAAAGTATAAATACTATTCATAAAATAAATATTAAAAAAAGTAAATAAAAGTAGGTAAAACTCGATGATAAAAGTAAATGAACGTATATCACTTAACCACGAAAAGTCTATATAAAGTATGTGAAAGTCATTAACTTTGTGAAACTCATTCACTCACAAAAAATCTTTAAAGTTAGAATTAGATAAACCCCTCAATCTATTCCAAGAAAAAAAAAAAATTTAAAATTAGATTTAAAAGTTGCACCGAAAGCAAACGTGGCTCTTTCTTTCGTCTTGTTCTATTATTCCTTATTCATTCTTGACCGGTTGACTTCACATTCACAATGGAAGGAGCAGGCTGCTTCGTAAGTATGAGGCCAATCAATACACAAAGTCATAACAACTAGAGATAAGCACTTGCTCACTGCTCATCAAGTTAATCTAATCTACAGTGTTAAGGAATTAGATGATCACGAAGCTTTTGATCTCTTCAGTGCGAATGCCTTTCCAGGAGAAAGACGACTTTCAGATGATTATAAGAAGCTCGCTAGTATTGTAGTGCAGTATGCTCGAGGCCTTCCCCTAGCTCTGGTAGTTTTAGGTTCACTTCTATGTTGTGGAAGTATTGAAGAACGGCTAGATGCATTAGATGGTTGCAAAAAAATTCCTAATCCAAACATTCAAGAAGCTCTTGAAATAAGTTATAATTCATTGGAAGATCTAGTGAAAGAAGTTTTCCTTGACATTGCATGTTTCTTTAGAGGTGAAGATAAGGACCATGTGATACAAATACTAGAAGGTTGCGGCCTCAACCCTAAGTATAGTATCAAAGTACTGAAAGAAAACGCCTTATACATGTTAATGAAGACAATAGTATTTGGATGCATGACTTGATAGAAGAAATGGGAAAAGAAATAGTTCGCCAAGAGGCACCATTTAAACCTGAAAAACGTAACAGATTGTGATCTAACAAGGATGTTTATCAAGTCTTAACAGAAGGCATAGTAAGTAAACTTATATATATATACATAAGAGAATATCCTCAAATGTCAATAGAAGAAGCAACAAGTGGTTTATGCCTGTATTTAATAAGGGCAGTAGCAACATTTATCACCAAACACCAACATTAGCGCCACGTGGCAGTATCAGGGCAACCTATAATGATTTGGCCAAGTGGATTTGGACGACGCCTTCTTTGTCTTATGGATTAATCACAAAGTTGGACCCCTTGTTAGATGTCTCTTTCTGATTTTGTTTAACTAAGGGAGTTCTGCATTAAAGTAGATTATCTTTATTTATTTATATTTATATTTAATTTAATTATATATTTGAGGAAATTTTGCAGCTTGACACGTTGCCAATCCCCCCTAAGCAAAATGAACTGAAAGACCCAACAGTGTATCAGATGAACAATCCAACTGCCAATTTAACTGCATCCAAGTCCTTTTCCTTTGTGGGGTTTCTGGTTGGTTTGTTTTTTTTTTTTTTTTTTTTTTTTTTGTCTCAACCCCGAGGGGGCCCTGGAGGGGGTCCACACTTGGACAGGACCCTTTACCCTTAACCACAACCCAGACTAATCCCCGTTCACACCGGGTCGGCCCGTAAGGAGTAAAGTGCTGGCCAAAGTGGTGACTCCATACGAGAGCAGGGATCGAACCCCTGACATCTCTTAAGGAATGAGAGTGCCGAACCACTCACACCAACCACCTTGGTTGGTTGGTTTGTTTTAATTTGTAAAGAAATGCTTTATTATGATTGGGTTGCCGTGTGCAATTTAACACTGTTTCCTTCGTTGTCGACCTGTAGGTTCATGTAGTTTTGCAATGAGGTCCTTATAGGGGTTTCATTTACAATTCAGGACAAATTTATAATTTGGTGATTCTTTTAGAACGAAATATAAATATTTGAAAATATCATTTTATCCCCTGGTCGCAAATATCATTTTGTCCTGTCGACCGACTCATTTGAACTCTTTCTCATAATAAGTATTGATTTCTGTCGATGTCTTGGCATAAAAACCCAATGTATGTGCAGCATCTGTCGATGTTTCCCCTGCGCAACCCACCTGACGTTTTTGTCAAGGGATTTGTTTAATTAAGAATAATAAAAATGCTGATTCTGCAGCTTGATTGTTATTTTACCTTCAAGAGTTCGTATTATCATTTTCTCTAAAAACTACGCATCTTCAAGAGTGGTGTTTGAAGGAGCTCGTTAAGACCGTCCAATGTAAAGAGACTAGGCAACAAAGTGCTTATTTATACCCATATGTTAGAGCAAGTCCACCGCAAGGGTGTAGCCCAGGCAGGAGGGGGCCTTAGGCCCGGAAGGAAGCTCCAGCGCGGAAGATCCAGTTCAGGCAAGGTGTGGGACTCACGAGCCTGGGTAAGTCCACGGGGAGATCTGGCTCGTCGTATTGCCTTCAGGCAACTGACGTTAGCGCTGCTAGAAACCAACAGCTACAAGCCACGTGGTTTCTCCTGGAGGCTCCGATCCAAAAAAGTCATCCAATCCAACGGCTGCCCATTTTTTAGCTAAAAAAAAAATGAAAAAAAAAAGAAATTTTTTGTAAAAGATATCAAAAATTCTGGAAATTTTTTCTATAAATACCTACCAATATTATTCACTTTTCACACCAAATCTTCATACAAATTCATCTCCTTCCAATACTTTTTACACCAAATTTTCTACTACAAAATTCCATTTATGTACAAATACAAATGGCCTCTTCCATCAAAGCCAAAGGGTCGTGGACAAACGTTCGAAGTGATCAAAATCTTGGTGACGAGGTAAACAAAATTTAATTGCCGTTTTATTCAATTTAATGTCTTTTTTTGCTGTTGATATTTTCTTGCATTTCTAATTTCATTTTTTAATAGATTATTCAAGGCAAAACAAAAAAGAGTAAAACCAATACACATGGCTCCTCAAGTGAACAATGCTTGCAGTCGGTTCCAATGGTAAGTTCCGTATCAGAAATAATGGCACTATTATGTCCTCCTAAGGAAAATACTCCCCCACGTTTTGATTCGATGGAACTGCCTTCGCTAATGATTAAGTCGTCCTTGTACTCGATTGTGTCGGACTATGAGGACTGAGAGTATTTCAATTGTATGATGAGTGAGATGTGAATTTTATAATAAATAGGACACGTGGCAACCAAAAATCTTTTTCGAAAATTTTATCTGAAATTTGAGATGTGAATTTTATAATAAATATGGACACATGACAACCGAAAATCTTATCTGAAATTTGAGATGAGAATTTTATAATAAATAGTGACACGTGGCAACTGAAAATCTTATTCGAAAATTTTATCAAAATTAATCGTTTAAGTATAAAAAAATAAAAAATAAATTAAAGTGAATAGTTATTGCCCTTGGCCATAAGGGTGGAAACAAAATTGTAAGGGCTGCCACTATTCACGTGAATAGTGACAGCCATTGCCTTGCCTTTACCCATAGGGGTGAAAGTGCTCTTAGGAAGAAAGAAGAAGAATAAATATGAAGCATTTTCAAATCATTGCACGGTAAAAAATACAAATTCGTAACCAATCCACATAGTGAGACTTCATAATGGAAAAGGCCGCCTATAACCATTGTATGAGTATATTAGCTTTACATTCATATTTTAGGGTACCATATTATAGAGAAGTGTACGAAATAATATCAATGTTTAAATCTTGCCATACTACCTAAAACTTTGTTTTGTTGTAATGTTAGGGACACCAAATTAAGTGACCGCTTTCAATTACGATTGGTCACTTTTTTTTTTCTTTTTTTTTTTTTTTTCCCGAGCATGTCTTTCTTGAGGAACTTTAATTGAGGAACTTAAATGAGGATAGATTGTAGCCGTTGGATAAAATTGGACGGCTAGACTAAAAGAGCAACTTAAGTTGCAACTGGGTTGTCTTCAACCCAAAACAAAGACCCAAAGCTTGACAAATCCCGATGAAACACAGCTGGCTCTTCGTTGAGCTTGGACGAGATTTGACTCAACTTGCCCAATTTTTCTCAACTTACCTTGAGAAGTGCATTACTAGTAAGTGATTATGAACATTACGTAGTTTTTAGTCAGGATTTGGTTTTGGAATGTTTATGAATGCTGACCTCTGTGGATTACCCAAGGGCTTGTTTAAGCTTTTCTTTGGTTCCCTGGTTTGTTTGGTTGTGAAGCAGCAATTTATGTTGGCACCTCCCTTCTCAATTTTCGTATTAAAAGTGTTTTTCAACCAAAAAAATAAAAAATGAAATAACTAAATGGAGATGGGGAATATAGTATATAAACAATCACTTTCAGACTGTTTATGGATTCAATTACCATTCATGGGGCTTCTTCCTCTTCCTCTTCTTCTTCTTCCCCCTATTCATGGACATACGATGTCTTTCTCAGTTTTAGAGGCGAGGATACACGCTACAATTTTACAGACCATTTGCATAGCAGTTTGGATCGGAAGGGGATCAACACCTTCATAGATAACGACGAGCTTGAAAGAGGAACAGATATATCTCCAGTGCTTCTCAAAGCAATTCAAGGGTCAATGATTTCTCTCATCATATTCTCTGAAAACTATGCATCCTCTACGTGGTGTTTGGATGAACTCGCTCATATCATTCAATGTAGAGAATTAAAGCAACAACTGGTTTTTCCAATTTTTTACAAAGTGGATCCCTCCCATGTACGGCACCAGAGAGGTAGTTTTGGGGAGGCAATTGCTAACCATGAATGCAACTTCAAGAATGATATGAACAAGGTGCTGAGATGGAAAGCAGCTCTTGTAGAAGTAGCAAATTTGTCCGGGTGGCATTTTTTACACGGGTAAATTTTCTGAGCACTATACACTACAAGAACACACAAAACAAATGGCATTTATGCCGAGTTTTTTATTATCAATAATAGTCAAAATTTATACCCCAATTTCATAAATATCAATTTTTATAAAAACTTTCAAAAATAACTAAAAAAATTCACTTAAATTAACACAAATACCCCGAAAATTAAAACATAATTACCCATAAAACCAACCTCTTCACATTATTATATTACTAAAACAACAAAACAAAAAGAGGAATTCTTTTCCACAAACGAAGACTTGCCCCAATTATGTTGCTTCTTAATTATCACCACAAACACGAACATAGAACCTCAAAGATTGACCATGAAGAAAGTCAAAATCCCATTTTGTTTTTGCTCGACTTTTGTAGATCTAAAACTTCCCCTTTCTAAGAATAAAAAACCTCAACCAAAAACAATGGAACCCAAATCAAGCGAAACACAGCAAAATCGCAACAATATTTGCCTTTTGGTTTTGCTGTTCCAAAAGAATGCAAAGGAGATATTATTATATTAATATAGTTTGAAATTAAAAGGAAAAATCACATACGACAAGGCATAAGCATTTTATTCAACACCACTACAAAGAAGCTCAACATCAGATTTAATCAAGGATTGGAAAAATATAGTTTTTTAGTTTTAGAGTGAGAGAAGAAAGAAGAGCTATTGAATTTGTCAAGTCCATCAAACTTGAAATAAAATTGGGGTTTTGAGTTTTTAAGTTGAGTTTAGGGTTCATAGCCGTAACTAGTAGGGTTAGAAGAAATAGGCAGTAGTAAGCTTGGCCACCGTAGTTGTGAGTTCTTTGGTTTGTAAGTTCATTGTTTGTTGGCTTAATTTTGAGGGTATTTGTGTCAATTTAAGTAGGTTTTTGGCTATATTTGAAAGTTTTTATAAAAACTGACATTATGAAATTGGGTTATAAATTTTGGCTATTATTGATAAAAACTCATTTACGCCGAATGTGGCCTTTATGCAGAATGTGGGCGTAATGTCTATTTGTGGGCTATATGCCTTTATTGGGCTAAATGCCTTTATGTTGGCTTTTGCCGTTTCAGTTTTTTTTTTCTTGGGAACATGATTTTCATGTTATATTGTAATGGTTTTAACTAGATTTGTTTCCTATTGGTTTTCTAGTCGGTGTTTTTGTCCGGCTTTGTTTGTTCTATTGTCTGCCCTTTTGGGGGATTGCAATGAATTGGAACTTCGACCCAAAAAAAGGAATCAAGAAAGCAGGTGATCTAATTTGCATTTATTACTTATTTTTCATGAATATTTTGCCATTCAAGGTAAATAATTGGAAACAAATTAAAAGTCCTTGATTTAAAGCATTGTCACTTTTAATCAAGCAGAATTGTCTTCTACTTTTCATGTTCTATCTTTTTTCCAAAAAAAAAAAAAATAGCAAATAAAACTGTCATTCATCTAAAGTTTCATATGCTATTATTGGCAAGCATGAATCTAAATTTATTGATGACATCGTTGAAGAGATTTCAGTACGAGTATTAAATGATACTGCCTTTAATGTGGTAGATCACCCAGTTGGAATCGAATCTCGTGTATGACATGTGGTTAAGCTTTTACGTGTTGGGGAAAATAATGTTGGTATGGTAGGGATATGGGGAATTGGTGGAATCGGTAAAACAACAATTGCTAGAGCTGTTTACAATACAATTGCTAGAGCTACTTAATTTGTTTTTTTCCCAAACCTTCCCTAGGCTACAGTCAAGGGTAGCCCTTGCACTGGTTCCACCCATGAGCGGGTTGCTGCTCAGATGCCGGAGATCTCGATCCTATCCGACTTAGGCTTTGTACATGCCAAGGAAGACCACAAACAACATAATACTTCTTTAGGGTAGCTTATTGTTGGTCTTTTTTTTCGCCTTCCTCTCTTGCGTCAATCTGCTTTGGAGAACGGGAAGGAGTCTAGTCAACACCAATGCCCCGATTGGATTTCTAGCTCACGAAAGGACTCCTTCAACTTCGGATAAAATTGAAAGTTGGATCAGGTTGAGAAGAGCGGGCAAGCTCGGGCTGGGCTCTGATGACTTCGTTCTTCTGATCCAATCGCAAGTTGCATAGGATCTTATTTGTTGTGCAAAATTAACTCCCTTAGGATCTTATTGTTGATGGACTATGTAACAAACCCTTTCAATCCATAAGGATGAAAGAAACACTCACACACTCATAAGAAAAATAAGCAAGCACACAAAGAACACAAAGATTTATAAAGGTTTAGCAACTTGCCTACATCCTCTTGGTGATCCATTTGAGAAAATTCACTAATGAAAGATAGGTTACAACCTTGGTTTATAAAGAAAACCCTTTTGAACTCTAATCTCTCCCAAGCTCTCTTTTTCTCTTTCACCCCTTGCTCAAACCTTTGACGTTCTTGTGGACTCTCACTCTTAGTTTTCCCTCATTGGTTTCTAGACTTACAAGACTTCAACTCTCAACTCCTAACTTGAGTTGATTGTTCTCTCTTCCTCCTTGATGGTTTAAGCCACACTTGTTGTCTTGCATCTACTTTCCTTTTATAGACAAGCCTTTGGACTTAGGAGGAAGATTCTTCTTCCTGTACATTAAGCCTTCAGCCACCTAGCATAGACTTTGAGTTAGGTGAACCAAAAGCAATTCATCAATGGATGCACCTTCAGCCACTTTATCTAGAAAGCCTTTGAAATAAGTTAACAAACAACCATAAAGTGCTATCCCAGCTTTCCAAGTGATTGCCAAACTTCCTAGAACTCTGAAATGACTTAGGAAGTCCTTGCAATTAGGTAGAAAGCATAGCACATGGAAAAGATGTCTAAAAGCATGTGGAAAATCAACACAACACTGTAGAAGCGACCGGTCGCAGGGACAGTGCTACCATAGCAAGGACGGTGCGACCGGTCGTACTGAGACAGGTTCTAAAACGTGCTTCTGGCAATTTTTGAGTCCTGCTATATGCTTTGAAAACCAAAGCTTGCATCCTTTTAGATGAGCCAATTTTCCAACATTATTAGGGATGAAACCAGCCCAATAGACATGGTATATGTGATGTAGGGTGTCAGTTTGATGGACTCGAGCTTGTTCTGGATATTTTTATCAAGCCATTATGCTCCAATGGGGGTACTGGCTTGGATGAGTTCTTTTATGTGCCTCAATCAAGAGGACTTCAATGTTCTTTCAATTGTACGTTGTTGGTTTGATTGATACGAATGGTACCTGATCAAACAAGACCAATGTTATGGTTAATGCTCCCTCGATCAGGTTCAGAAACCTAGTTTGGGCCCGAGATGACCCTATATCAGGTCAAGCTTCAACCTATTCTGGCCCAATAGTATAGTTCGGGTTGTTTTCGGACTAATAAAGCCCTATTCAGACCTAAAACCCTTATTTTGGGTCTGAATAATAAGAAACTCAAATATGTAAAAGCGGGAAGATAAATTATTACATGAGAATATATGAAGTGGATAAATGACAGGTATTTAAAATGTAACTAAAGCAAATTTCAAAAAGAAAAAGGTTCCATATGTTGGAAATTTTTCTATCCAACTCTAGTATGGTAACAAATTGAAACGAAAGCCAAAGATTTTTCCATTTAGCTACTTTTAAAGATAAATTAAAATATAGAAGAAATTGGAGATTTCTCTATCCAATTCACATAGGTTTTTCCTATTTATAAGAAACTCAAACTGATTGTTTCAACAAGAATCATACCATGAAGATGGCAGAGAAATAAAAGATAAATGCATGAGTTGTCAATTGGTTACCTGAACAGTAAATTGGCTATTTGAAAAAATCTTGAAGTTTGTTCAAGTGTTTTTAAGACGTTGCATCTAATTTTGGAGAGAGAGTCATCTTGTGCAGCTATAGATCCTCTATATTTATAGGCAAGAGTCCCTAATGATGAAAGCTGGAGGAGGGTACTTGGATGTTGTCCAAAGTCAGTTGTTGATCTGTCCTCGTGAGCCAATCCATAGGTAGGAGGAAATGATGTCTCGGATGAAACTACTGGTCTTAAGGGATGCCCCTTTGATCTGTGTCCTTTGCAGCTAGAAATCCTGTTGGGAAACGGTTCCTTTCAATTCTGGCGTCCATTATCTAGCTTGCTTTCTTGCTAAGAGAGACGGCGATCAAGTCATTATTAATGGCAATAAAATATCTGCAGACCTTAAGATACCCATTTTCTTAACTTTAGTGTGGTCCAAAGCTAGGATCTTTTCGTACTATGGGCTTTTGAGAGGGTTTTGCCCATTGTTGGCCCAAATCCAAGAAAACATTTTCTTTATTTTTAAAAGAAAGAGATTGAGCTTGGGTCTAATATAATCTTATTTGAAAAATAGAATTATTTTTGACATATTTTTCAAATATGGTACGAACACTTATATATATATATATATATATGGATGTCGTATAAAAAATTATATATGGTGTACTACAGTTTGGAAATATGTTCTAATACACTTATGGATCCTGATTTTTAACAATTGGATGATTTTTTTAATGAGATGATAAGCTTAGAATAAAAGTTAAGCAAATCCGAATATGTGCAGTATAGAATAAGAGGAAAAGATTCCATGAGTGGTAATGGAGTCCATTTTGTTTGGTATATGTGAAAGACCTTTCTCATTTTATATAGAGCACATTGCGCTGAAAAGACACATGTGCGTCATAAGTCCACTTGCTTGGCATCCGCATATGCGAAGCACTTTCCTGCCGAACTTTTTCATGTGAATCTGAAGTCTCGTGAGGCAATAAGACTAAGTAAAGAAAAGGACAAGGAAAATTAAAATACAAAAAAAAAAATAACTTATAAGCAAAATGCCAATCCAGTTGCAGCCATAGTACCGGGAAGATTCCAAAGGAATCGGAATCGGTTTGGAACCGACCCCAAATCCCCTCGCCGACCAAATCGGTTTAGCTTCAACCAAGAAATCAATGGTGAATTGAATTTTTTTTAAAGGCAATAAATGGGGATGCTGCAGTGTTAATGCCACAAATCATCCAATGGCAACCAAATTCTGTTAAAGTATAAAATAAAACAGAGTGTTAGAACCAACAAGCATGGGAATCATGTTGCTAAAAATGGGGATTGCTAGTAACTTTTTCTCTAATCTTCTCTTTTGAAATTTCTCCCTTTTTCTCGTGACATATGTCAATTTGCTTATACTTCAAACAATGTCATTAATACATTAGATAATCTAACTTTTATGAGTATAAGAAAAGTGACACATGTCAACAAGAAAACGGAGAAGGTCCAAAAGAGAAGGTTAGAGAGAAGGTTGCTAGCATTCACTGTTAAAAATGGGCTTGTCCAGTTCCTTTCATTTTCTATTTTCTAGATATATACTCATTACTCTATAAATATGTGTAAAATTCAATTTCAAATTTAAATGACCAGTAGAATATAAAAGGTCATAGTATTCCTATATTTTTACATCGTTGCCTAGACACATAGAGGTCATAGTATTCTTATGTTTTTACATCAAATTTAACTTACCGGTAGAAAAAAATATGTATATAGGTAAATTCATGTACCTAAACACATAGGGGTTAAATAGAGAAGAACATGTTATTTTCCCTTTGAACAAATTAATTTCAAACCATAACAATTATTAAATTTGGAAATTGGTATAAATAAAAGGAAATAAATAAGCTATCAATTTGAAAATTAAAATACGAAATGATCAAGGAGTTAAATTTTTTTTAAATAAAAAAAAGGAGCATATTCTTGTTTTTTAAAGGAACAATGATATATTCAAATCATACGGCAGTAATTACACCAAGCTTTAATAACTTTTTTTTAAATAAGGAAAAAATTGACCCATTAAATCCTTGTAATCTATACAAAATTGAAACACAATTAATCGACATTGAATTGCAGCTAAAATTAAGGGTATTATAGGAATTTTAAAAAATATAACATTTAACATATTAAGCTTAATTTGGAAACTTGATGAGTTGGATCATAGTCATCAATTTTTTCTTATAAAATTTGGGTTTTATTTATAGAAAAATAAAACGATTGGTCTGATAAGAAAACATTAATTTGAAGAGGAAGAGTCAAATTTACTATAAAAATATTTGGGGCTTTGGTTTTCTCCTTAGACATGCATATCAACTTGTGTGAAATGAAGAGAACACTGTTTTGATATCCCTAGTTATTCACGATATGTTAAGACAAAAAGTTATCAAATATAGAATACTGTGATCGATAGGAAATAACAAAACAATATTATCATTGTTCCATATTGAAGCCTGACATAGTGAAGGAAAAGAAAGACTTTGACCAAAAAGAAAGAAGGAGAAGAAAATTAAAAAGAAAAATTCTTCCAAAAAGCTGAAAACAATAAATAAATAACTATAAATGGTAAATAAAAAGTTGGAGATATGTGCGGCACGTGCCCCACATGACGTGGGTGTCTTCCCCAATGTTCATGGTACCTTGATTCGCCTTCGATTTAAGAGTTTTAACTTGCTCTGGTTAGCATGTATCTCGTGTTCCACGACTCCAGTGGTTTATTTGATCTTTTATTTGGGTTTTAGCTGGGTCTCTTGTCGCTGGCTTGCCTTGTCTCCTTGTTTGTGTGTGTGTGTGTTTTTATTTTTATTTTTAAAAGATGAGCCCGGAGATGGTAGATACTGTTACTTAGATTGGTTTACTCTTATTCACAGTGAAGGTAGCAGGCTAGGCTTGAGTTTATGGATTCAATTACCACTGAAGAGGGTTCTTCCTCTTCTTCTTCCACCGATGGATGGAAATACGATGTCTTTCTTAGCTTTCGAGGCGAGGACACACGCTACAGTTTTACAGACCATTTGCACAGCAGTTTGGTTCGGAAGGGGATCCACACCTTCATAGATGATGGGCTTGTAAGAGGAGAAGAAATATCACAAGCGCTTCTCAAAGCAATTGAAGGGTCGATGATTTCTCTCATCATATTCTCTGAAAACTATGCATCCTCCAAGTGGTGCTTGGATGAACTCGCTCATATCATGCAATGTAAAAAATCAGATCAACAAAAGGTAATTCCAATTTTTTACAAAGTGAATCCCTCAGATCTACGACACCAGACAGGTTGCTTTGGGAAGGCACTTGCTAGCCATGAATGCAACTTCAAGGATGATCCGGAGAAGGTGATAAGATGGAAGGCAGCTCTCACAGAAGCAGCAAATTTGTCTGGGTGGCATCTAACAAGCGGGTAAATATTTTACCACACTAGTTAATCGGCTTTACTAGCTTCTTTACTAGCTAACTTCATTACATGCAAGCTTCTTTGCGAGAGGATTTTTTGCAGTTATAATTGTTACAAAACTATTATTTTGTTTAATTCTTCAACAAAGACTGTAAAAGGCATTAACAAAAAAATGATTTTAAGATGCTTTTACAAAGAAAATTCAATAAGGAAACATGTCGATATCAAGGCCGCACACATTTTATGAACACATGTAGATATCAAGGCAACACGACACCCATTTGTACGTAGAAGAAGTTTACTTTGACTTTTTTCTATTTTTGGTTGTTTTCCTCTTTTCGACTAAGGTGGCTGATGGAAGGATTTTTGGTCCTCCTTTTTTTCACTACCCAAAAATGAAGTATTAGGGGCAGAAAAATGGATGTGCCCTTATTAGTAATTAATTAGGGGTTGAAAAATGATTGGCCCTTAGAGCACTTTCACCAGTTTGCCCTTTGCCATGGCAAGAGGGGGCGGGGCAGGGCTAGGGCAGCTACTATTTAAGTGAATAATGGCTGCCCTTGGACAAGGTTGTGGTGTTTCCACCCATTGCTATGACAACAACTATTCACATGACATATAAGAAGAGAACTTTGTATAGAGTTTGGTGTGGGAAGTGAAAACTATGACTAAGTATTTATTTTAAAAAAAATTTGAAATTTTTGTTTTTTGTTTTGGTTGCTGACATCATCGCTGACGTCAACAAACTCGAGCTCATCTTGCCTAAGGGCTGACCTGGTTTGGTGGGCCCCAGTAGCTGCCCTGGCCAGCCCTTGCAGTTGGAAATGGTTTTTGGGCCCTCACACGAAAAGACACATGTGCGTCATAAGTCCACTTGCTTGGCATCCGCATATGCGAAGCACTTTCCTGCCGAACTTTTTCATGTGAATCTGAAGTCTCGTGAGGCAATAAGACTAAGTAAAGAAAAGGACAAGGAAAATTAAAATACAAAAAAAAAAATAACTTATAAGCAAAATGCCAATCCAGTTGCAGCCATAGTACCGGGAAGATTCCAAAGGAATCGGAATCGGTTTGGAACCGACCCCAAATCCCCTCGCCGACCAAATCGGTTTAGCTTCAACCAAGAAATCAATGGTGAATTGAATTTTTTTTAAAGGCAATAAATGGGGATGCTGCAGTGTTAATGCCACAAATCATCCAATGGCAACCAAATTCTGTTAAAGTATAAAATAAAACAGAGTGTTAGAACCAACAAGCATGGGAATCATGTTGCTAAAAATGGGGATTGCTAGTAACTTTTTCTCTAATCTTCTCTTTTGAAATTTCTCCCTTTTTCTCGTGACATATGTCAATTTGCTTATACTTCAAACAATGTCATTAATACATTAGATAATCTAACTTTTATGAGTATAAGAAAAGTGACACATGTCAACAAGAAAACGGAGAAGGTCCAAAAGAGAAGGTTAGAGAGAAGGTTGCTAGCATTCACTGTTAAAAATGGGCTTGTCCAGTTCCTTTCATTTTCTATTTTCTAGATATATACTCATTACTCTATAAATATGTGTAAAATTCAATTTCAAATTTAAATGACCAGTAGAATATAAAAGGTCATAGTATTCCTATATTTTTACATCGTTGCCTAGACACATAGAGGTCATAGTATTCTTATGTTTTTACATCAAATTTAACTTACCGGTAGAAAAAAATATGTATATAGGTAAATTCATGTACCTAAACACATAGGGGTTAAATAGAGAAGAACATGTTATTTTCCCTTTGAACAAATTAATTTCAAACCATAACAATTATTAAATTTGGAAATTGGTATAAATAAAAGGAAATAAATAAGCTATCAATTTGAAAATTAAAATACGAAATGATCAAGGAGTTAAATTTTTTTTAAATAAAAAAAAGGAGCATATTCTTGTTTTTTAAAGGAACAATGATATATTCAAATCATACGGCAGTAATTACACCAAGCTTTAATAACTTTTTTTTAAATAAGGAAAAAATTGACCCATTAAATCCTTGTAATCTATACAAAATTGAAACACAATTAATCGACATTGAATTGCAGCTAAAATTAAGGGTATTATAGGAATTTTAAAAAATATAACATTTAACATATTAAGCTTAATTTGGAAACTTGATGAGTTGGATCATAGTCATCAATTTTTTCTTATAAAATTTGGGTTTTATTTATAGAAAAATAAAACGATTGGTCTGATAAGAAAACATTAATTTGAAGAGGAAGAGTCAAATTTACTATAAAAATATTTGGGGCTTTGGTTTTCTCCTTAGACATGCATATCAACTTGTGTGAAATGAAGAGAACACTGTTTTGATATCCCTAGTTATTCACGATATGTTAAGACAAAAAGTTATCAAATATAGAATACTGTGATCGATAGGAAATAACAAAACAATATTATCATTGTTCCATATTGAAGCCTGACATAGTGAAGGAAAAGAAAGACTTTGACCAAAAAGAAAGAAGGAGAAGAAAATTAAAAAGAAAAATTCTTCCAAAAAGCTGAAAACAATAAATAAATAACTATAAATGGTAAATAAAAAGTTGGAGATATGTGCGGCACGTGCCCCACATGACGTGGGTGTCTTCCCCAATGTTCATGGTACCTTGATTCGCCTTCGATTTAAGAGTTTTAACTTGCTCTGGTTAGCATGTATCTCGTGTTCCACGACTCCAGTGGTTTATTTGATCTTTTATTTGGGTTTTAGCTGGGTCTCTTGTCGCTGGCTTGCCTTGTCTCCTTGTTTGTGTGTGTGTGTGTTTTTATTTTTATTTTTAAAAGATGAGCCCGGAGATGGTAGATACTGTTACTTAGATTGGTTTACTCTTATTCACAGTGAAGGTAGCAGGCTAGGCTTGAGTTTATGGATTCAATTACCACTGAAGAGGGTTCTTCCTCTTCTTCTTCCACCGATGGATGGAAATACGATGTCTTTCTTAGCTTTCGAGGCGAGGACACACGCTACAGTTTTACAGACCATTTGCACAGCAGTTTGGTTCGGAAGGGGATCCACACCTTCATAGATGATGGGCTTGTAAGAGGAGAAGAAATATCACAAGCGCTTCTCAAAGCAATTGAAGGGTCGATGATTTCTCTCATCATATTCTCTGAAAACTATGCATCCTCCAAGTGGTGCTTGGATGAACTCGCTCATATCATGCAATGTAAAAAATCAGATCAACAAAAGGTAATTCCAATTTTTTACAAAGTGAATCCCTCAGATCTACGACACCAGACAGGTTGCTTTGGGAAGGCACTTGCTAGCCATGAATGCAACTTCAAGGATGATCCGGAGAAGGTGATAAGATGGAAGGCAGCTCTCACAGAAGCAGCAAATTTGTCTGGGTGGCATCTAACAAGCGGGTAAATATTTTACCACACTAGTTAATCGGCTTTACTAGCTTCTTTACTAGCTAACTTCATTACATGCAAGCTTCTTTGCGAGAGGATTTTTTGCAGTTATAATTGTTACAAAACTATTATTTTGTTTAATTCTTCAACAAAGACTGTAAAAGGCATTAACAAAAAAATGATTTTAAGATGCTTTTACAAAGAAAATTCAATAAGGAAACATGTCGATATCAAGGCCGCACACATTTTATGAACACATGTAGATATCAAGGCAACACGACACCCATTTGTACGTAGAAGAAGTTTACTTTGACTTTTTTCTATTTTTGGTTGTTTTCCTCTTTTCGACTAAGGTGGCTGATGGAAGGATTTTTGGTCCTCCTTTTTTTCACTACCCAAAAATGAAGTATTAGGGGCAGAAAAATGGATGTGCCCTTATTAGTAATTAATTAGGGGTTGAAAAATGATTGGCCCTTAGAGCACTTTCACCAGTTTGCCCTTTGCCATGGCAAGAGGGGGCGGGGCAGGGCTAGGGCAGCTACTATTTAAGTGAATAATGGCTGCCCTTGGACAAGGTTGTGGTGTTTCCACCCATTGCTATGACAACAACTATTCACATGACATATAAGAAGAGAACTTTGTATAGAGTTTGGTGTGGGAAGTGAAAACTATGACTAAGTATTTATTTTAAAAAAAATTTGAAATTTTTGTTTTTTGTTTTGGTTGCTGACATCATCGCTGACGTCAACAAACTCGAGCTCATCTTGCCTAAGGGCTGACCTGGTTTGGTGGGCCCCAGTAGCTGCCCTGGCCAGCCCTTGCA